TTTATAGCATATATATATTTTAAATTAAGTATTTTATTTATAAAATATTATAAAATTATAGTTGGATCGACCCGGTCCGGTTTACATCTCTCTTATGGAACGGACCGGTCCATAAGTCAGTCCTAGGACCTGTCCAAACATTTTACTATAACGATAATGTCCTAAATGGAAATGGGGAATGATGCAAGGCCGGTCCTAGGATTGACTTCGGCCCTAAAAACCGGTCTTTTTTGACCGGACCGGACCGGACCGATCCAAACCCTAATTGTTACACTAATTTATTAGAAAAATAATTTCTGAAATCAAATAAAATATTTTAATTACAAAAAATTATTTTTAATGAAAATTCTTTTTAAAAAGAATTAATTTTAAAAAAAAATTATTTTAATTTTTCGTGTTTATTTTTTTTTTTAAACAGAATATTACAATAAAAATATTTCTACCAGGGATATAAATATCTCTAAAATCTAATTTAGATTTTTTGACTGACGTTACACAAAAAGGAGATTTAATCGACTTCATATATCAAATAATAATATTAATCAAAGTTCTCTTTTTAGTTGGTGTGGTCCCGTAATAATAAATGCAAGAACCAATGAATGACAAAAAGACACGAGGGAGAAATTTATAAAACACAGAAAATTTCCTACGAAGGAATTTATTTTTAATGATAAGCCTGAATCGTTCAATTTTTTATTTCGTATACGATGACATCTGAAAGTTATGAGCAAAAATCACGCTTGAGTCCATATGTACGAAAGATCAATTTCGTTAATGATAATAGAAGAAGAAAAAAGAAACCTCCAAAGCTTTGCCTCGATTGTAAGGAAACCGATAATTATGTCGAATTATTTTCTAATAAAGTCAATCGTATTGAAGAAATCGGTGATAATTTATATGACAACATTCAAAAAAAGAAGACCGAAAATTGTTCAATATATAACGCAAAATTTACTCTCAACAATGTTCCATGTGAAATAGAATACGACCTGTCACATTTCACTTTACAAGAATTAGATAAATTGGCGAATCTTGCAACTGAAAATTTCAATGATGATAATATAAATCCAATTCCTACCTCTTTAAATGAAAATGAACAATTCATTCTCAATAACGTCCCTTGCGAACCTCTAAAGCTATGCTCCATGTGTAAGGAGACTAATGATTGTTTCAATTTATTTTCTAGCAAAGTCAATAAAATCGAAAAAATTGTTGACAACCTTCATGAATGTATTTCAAAAAGGAATGAAAAACTTTCAAAATATACCGCACAATTTAGTCTTAATAATGTTCCTTGTGAATTAGAATACGACTTGTCAAATTTCACTTTTGAGGAATTACAAAAATTGGTAAATTTTACGACTCAAGATCAAAGATGTTAAAAAATATCCAACTTTCATCTCTTTTAATAAGTATGAGAATGAAAATTAACGATCCTTGCGAATCAGAAATTTCTTTGACAAATTTACCCCTAAAAGGATTCAAGGTTGCAATGATAATTACCTCTTTTAATGAAAAGGAGAATGAAGAATTCAATTTTAACAATGTTCCTTACGACTTAGTATATGATTTGTCAATTTCAATTTAGAGAATTGGAAAATCACTATGACGGCAAAAGTTTAAGGAAAGTATACAACTTTTCTTCTTACTCGAATAATTATTTATTTCAAATTTACGAAATCGATATTTAAAAATGTTACTACAATATTTTTTCCTCTTTAAGTTATTTATAGATTCAATTATGTTTTTATTTTTTTTCTACGTTTTGCTTTGCAAATTTCTTAAGATAAAATTATACGAGAATTCACGTGACAAAAATTTTTTATATAACGATAATGGTCATTCATAAGCTGTCAATAAAATAAATTTATTTAATTGCAAATGGATATGTCTCGTGCTGTAACCATGTGATAAATATAATTCTGAATTCGGGCGCATTTAGTTGAATTAGTATATCGAAGAGAAAAAAATAAAAAAGCCCTTAAAAATATCATGTGTTAAATTGTAGAAACCAAAATCTTTTCAAAGAAATCCTTGCGAATATATTTAATGTTACTTCAATAGAATTCTCTGACTTTGAGTATTTCGGTGTACCGTTGACAATATTATATGTAATTTCTACCATGCGATATGCATGAGAACACATCGAAGCTTTCTTACTAATCCTAATAATAATAAATTTGATAATATAACGAAATATTGAAGAGCATAAATGTAAATGTTACGAAATTTAAAAAAGGCATTAAATAAATTTTTATAAAGAAATCTAAGAAATGTCTTCTGATTCGGAATTCGTTAAATATTTAAAAACGTGTCAGTTTCTAGATATCTTGATTTTAAGGAACGTGCAAAATATCCAACTATAGTATTTTTCATGTGCTTCAAAATGAATAATTATTGAAAAATTAGAGAAAACACAACTTGGAAATTATTGATTTTTATTATTCAATATATTTGCATTCAAATATATTTCATATTGTTTATAAATATTTATCCTTAAATAGTATAACACAATTACATACATTTGCATACACTATGACAAATTTTTATCACCAAAAATTATCCGAACCAATCACATTTCATTAATAATTAGAATGTGCTGTCTTTATATAACGTACAAAATAAAAAAAATTGTTCCATTACTTTTATGGATTTTATGTTAATTTATCAAATCTTTTTACATGACCAAATGATGCATTCATAAAGTGTAAATATTTAATAAATAATTTTTTTTTTAAAAGAAAAAAAAATTGTCATGAAATGATTTTGTTAAGATATAATTAATAAAAAAAAGCGTTTAGAACCAAGTACGCGATAAGTTGATGATATATTTCATTTTGTTTAAATTTACAATGTGATCATATGGGTTGTTTGCTATTAAAAGCAAGTTATGAGGTACAGTAAACAAGATTTGAATAAAATAAAATACACGACATTGAGCCCTTTCGTCGAGGTTAACAATAAATATATACAATTCTTTTAAGTTACACTTATACCTTCGCAATTGTTACATTATAATTAAATAGGAAGTGAACCGCACATGTAGAAGTTGGGTTACAAATCATTAAACCGGTAAGTTTAAAAAAATAATAATCTAACTAAATAAGTAAAGACTTTTAGCAGTAACAAAACTAAAATTTAAATCACTAGTTATGACCTTGGTAATTTTTTTTTTCCAAAGTCGAATTATTTCTAGTGAATAAATTGCCATTCACACTTGATTATCGTATTATTATTATATAAATATTTATACAAATATTTCTATATACATTATGACGTCAATTTGATATACTTAAAATTCGATATAACGATAGTTTTATATGAATCCGGACACTTCGCTATATACAACTATCTAGCTTATTAGTGAGTGGGTGATGGTAAAATATGACATAATCAAAATTTTGCAAATTAAATATTTGAGGCGCAGATCAAGTTCACTTCACCCACAGATCAACAAATTTAAACAATAGGAAATTTTTTCATATTATCGAAAATGATTGTATTAACAATGGAAATACTTTAGAGTATTCTAGCAAGAATAATTATGATTGCAAAATGATATTATATAAACCTTCTTTTATAATAAATGAATAATAAAAAAAAGGCTAGAATAAACAATTTTATGTAAATTCATTAAAAATTTGATCTCAGGTCGACACAATAAATTTGACCAGAGCTAGCAAAAACCAGAATTAAGATCGACCGACTTGGGCAGAAAATTTCAAACGACTATTTTTAATTTTGTTATAACAATTAATTTGAAATTCACGTGATAAAATAAGTTTGAAAATTTTATTAATCGTGATTTATTAATCTTTTTGTTCGGCTAACATAATCTCTAATAAACGATCATTGTTTGCGTTTGAACTAAAAATTTGAAATAACATTGGTCCAATTTAACATCAAACGTCCAAAAATAAAAAAAAAATTCCGAGAACGTATTAGAAAATTTCTAAGGGTAGATTCTTAAACTTTAGTAGATAATCTCTATGCTAAATGAAGATTACATTGTATAAAATATATTTATATATTTTTTTTTTATCTACCATTTATAATTATAAGTTTGTTCCTAAATTTATGCCAAATATTTATTTACATTTTATTCTCCTGTTTCAGAGTAAGAATAATGAATGGTTTTCGCGCGCAATGAGCTAATAAACAATGGGATTATGATTTACAGTAAACGATTTTGTTTGATTGCTATTTTTAAATGCTATCTTAATTTTCGTTTTTAACATTTTGAACCATTATAATGCACAAACAGAAGATAGCAAAATAATAAATATATTACATAATTTACAAGGGGGGGCACATTTGTCAATCAAAATCACACCGAAACCGTATTTTCATATTCCCCTTTCATTATTTTACATTTTAACACAAGTTTCTGTTTTTAAAGAAATTCTAACTAGAAAGTCATCGGTGTGTGTAAAAAATTTTTAAGAAATGTCTGCATAGAAGATAGCTATTCATCATTTTAATTATGAAACAAAGAAAATAACAATCAATACCATCTAGGGATGTTTGGTATTACAAAATTTGATCTTCACAGCGGTAAAAGGGAAGAAAAAATTTTCCTTTTAAAAAAAAATATATATATATTTAACTTACATAGAGCAAAGCTTTTGATGAGCTCGTTGCTTATAAATTTCGGATGACAAAGAATCAAAGAATATCTCATTAATATCTATCGGAAACGTAGATAAGCACGTATAATATGAATAAAAATATTCTTTGTTTACAATTTTTACAATTAAGTGTTCTAGGTAAAAAAAAAAAAAAACGTGCTTGCCATGATCATGCACGTTGTTCAGCAATTTCTCTTAAAATTGAACCATTTAACTAAAACCGTCTTGTATATGTTATAAAAGCCGGCCGGAAATTACATACATTGTATGACTTGACAACTGACGCGTAATTTTTTAGGTTCTATTTCATTGACTTTGTGATATGAATCCCCTTTGGGCGCTTGCCGGATATCTAAAAACGCCATTTTGATCATTTTTAGTATTGGCGCGGAATCGTCATAAAAAAGGATGTTTCCTTGTTCGCATAACGATAAGCTTGACTGTATTTAACTAAATTACTTTGAAACAAATAAGATTTAAAAAAATAAAGTAAACGTATGAATAGGTTATGCATCAAACAATAATGAGTAAATTTAATTGCATTTAACCGCAAACAAATTTATTAAATCAGAATAAGCCCTAATATAGGTATTTTTTTTTTTATAGTTTCGGTGATTAAAGTAGACAACAAATTTAAGTATAAGCATTAATTTACGCGTTGATTTCTTAAATATCAATGAATGGCTGAAATTCGTTCTAATAGAGTTCAGATGATATTATTGATTATAAATAATTCTTTTGCATCTTATCTAATAAAACTGAAACACTATCATACTACGATGGATGACAGAATAAATTTCATGATCATGATTGAATATGATTGAATTAATTTAAGCCTTCAATGAAAGCAAACAAAAGAAAATTTTTCATATTGTTTTGATAAATTTAAAAGCTTAAAATGGTAATTGGTCAAAGGTGAAATGATGTTTAGCACATCGACGTTCAGAGTTATCACTCAATTCATGAAGACATTAAAAAGTATTGTATATTTTTTCTTCCCCAAAATTTCGGTGCAAACATACTAAAATAGCACTGAACTCTCTATTACTGTTTCATTGGTGTTGTTAATTTAAGAGTATTATTGAACATATTTAGTGAGTTGCTTTTATCACAATTAAACCAACGGCGCAGCATCTCGTTATAACATGATTAAAGACCAGCTACGAAATTTTTTCTCATGCAATAAGAAACTCGTATGTTACACAATTGACATTTTCCATGTGTCCACGTTTTTTTTATTTCATTACAAATAGGTAATTGCATGAGTTCCGTCTAGCACAATATGCACAATATGATAATACTTCTCGTTATAGGATCTTGTAAGAAAAAAAAGGATGTGGATCTATTTAATTTGAAAATACTGTGCTTCATTTCACTACAGCTTTGTTCTGATATGTATCGCATGTAATTACCGCCTTTTGCCTTGAGTGAAAAAGCCACACGCGAGATTAATTTTTTATTAAAGGAAAGATCGAAGAAAACGAGTAAGTGGCACTCCGGACAAACGTTTTAGGACTTATTCACTGTAACCTCGATCATTTTTAGTACAAAAATGTTTAATAATTTTCTTTGTTTCAGTATAGGATATAGTGTTTTCTTAGTATACACGTTGCATTTATTACAATTACTTTGAGTTATAAAGTACATTTGATGACATCCCAATAATTCCTCTCGATGTAGAAGAAATATTTAATATATTTTGTGCATAAAACTTTTTAATCTTTTTAAGTTTCCAAAAATATTCTTATTTATGTATCTTATTTGACGCGTTATGTAATTGGAAATTGGGAAATTAGGAAGGAAAAAAAAAAAAGAATGCAAGGTCCATATGCGAATTTAAAATTATGATCTTGCTGAAATCACATATAAAACGACTCGACATTTTCTTTGAAGATTTCCCTTATTCTTTTTTCCATTGAAAATGAATGCTCAGAGATTCAGAAATCCTTCTACTACTAATGATACTCAAACGATATTAAATACATTCCTAGATGATATCAATTATAATAACGTAAACTCACTTCCATGCAATAATGACCCACGACTTCTTGCAAGTCGATCAAGACGTGGCCGAAGAATTCAAATGCTAACAGGAAAAATTTTAATGAAACGTAACGTTTTCCGTGAAGCTTATAGACTAAACATACGTAATCGATATCTAATTAATCTGGCGGTGGACACCATTTGGAACTTACGATTAACACCTTATCAAAGAGGTCGATTTATAATTCTAGCAACTAGCGCGAATATTATCAACCAATTCACTGTTTCACGAACTCGTTTGATACATAATCCTAATACTCAAATAACTACCCATCGAGATACCAACGAACTTGAGCAAAGTATTTTCAACGGAATCAACTTTAACGACGACGATAGCTTTGATTCTTTAATTCTACCTGCTGGAAGCTTTTCAGGTCCTTCTCCTTTCCCTTGATAATCCAACCTTGAGCAAATTTTTCAATAATACCAAATTTTAATGAAGAAATAATCTTAAATCTTTATCCTTATCGCAGAATGCTTTTCATCAATTAAGAGAATACTTTTTTTATGGTATTCTATATTTTTACTTTTTTTTTTACGCTTTACATTCTTTTTTTTTCCTACAGAATCGCTGTTTTTTTTTTCTTTTACGTACATCGTTGTTTTATTTTTTTTCTATTCGTCGTATTTCAAACATTCGCCGTTTTAAAAATTCGTTTCAAAATATCGCGATGGCAACATGTGGCGTAGTTCATGGTGCTATGTCGTGATTATTTTAACATATTATTCTTGATTTTTATTTCAAACTCAACTCGTAATTATGTCTCATTTGAGCACCTTCCATAAGATTATTAAGATAAGATTATTTTAATATGATTTTATATAAGGATTCCTTTAAGCATTTTATAAAAATTAAGCACGTTCTAAGTACTTCATTACATAATTAACATAATGTAGAATAGTTTTTTTTTTCAAATAAATCAAATAGGTAATTCATTTTTAATTTCTTGGAAAAAAGCATAAGCATATGTATGTTTAAAAAATATTTTTAAGGGGAATAAATAAGGTTTATAATTTATAAAATTAAACAAAATGAGTTCGCTTAACCATTTTATTCGCTTTTACAAATGTTATTAGAATTCATTTAAGGTCAGGTTAGGTGAAAGATATTCAAACAAAATGTAATAGTGAAGTCAGGGTTTGGAATATTTAAATTAGGCTTTGTTCAAAGAAAAAAAAGTTTAAATCTGCAAGATGCCTCCTTTTTTTTTCGATTTACATTGTTTAACGTTATTTGGTTTATTTAAATTATTGAATAAAAGATCAATTGTTTATAAATTACCCCTTGTTCCCTACAAAGTATCTAAAAAAAAAATTTTATTCAAAAAAAAGAGAGGTTTGTTTTATTGTAAAGAATTGCTTTATTTCACACGTAATCATAATAACGATAACTTTATAATTAAAATAATTAAACTCGATTATTTGAAGAAGCAAGTCGTTTAAACGGTGAAACCTTCATAATTAAATTGATGACTTTACCACTTTTAGAAAGTTAAATTGTCGACCTCTTAAATTGAAAAGGTTTATAAATTCCTTCGTTCGATACGTTATCATGAAGTTAGTCATAGAAATGCGCTCATTTTCTTAGCTCTTTATTTTGCATGTATTATTCTAACAAATCTGATCTAAGGAATCAGATGCGTATAATTTATCATTTGATGATAATATATTTCCACACGGCCAGTTGGAACATCGATTATTAACAATAATGTAGCACATCAATAAATAATTAAACTTTGATCAAGCCAAGCCATGTGAAAGATGTCATGTTCTGATATTAAATTGGCGAACCATGTGTGGGTGCATGTACGTCTTTCATGCCACATGCACTTGTGAGATTACACGTGTATATTGGTGATATTATAATTGATTGTAGCACTTAAAATGGGACCATATAGTGATTTCGAGCCTTCAATAAGAATAGTCAATATTTGAAGCTACTGGGATTGCACCCTTTTTTTTCGCAAATAAAATTATTTACACACATTTTTTTTTATCCGGGCTTAATAAATGTAACGCAAAGATATGACTCGGAGATTTTTTGAAAGGCCATGGCTTGGGGCTTAGCGAGACGGTTATCAAAATTTTAGAAAATGAGGAGGTTGACAGTTGTGCATTCCTCAATATGTTCGAGCAGAAGTACAGAGAATGTGGGAAAACATTGGATTGGCTGTAAAGCTTGCGGACCTCGCTAAGGATTGTAAAGAGAAAATTTCAAAAGCGTTCTCGTCATACCGAAGTTTGAATTAAGACGTTGAATCCGAGCTATTCACCAACCTTTGAAAATCCGAGACGATCATAAATATTTTGTAATGAGTATATTGTGGCAAACTGCACTTCATCTGTCAGGGACGATATAAGAAAAAAGTTTGCCATGCGTTCTCAAAGTTTTGGAATTGATCATTGGGTTGTTAAAAAGAGTATGTGTGCCTTCGAGTTATCACGTGAAAAAAAAAGACATGAGAATAGATCTAGGATAGCATTCCCCACCATCATTAGCAAAGAAACGTCATGTATTACGTGCGGCTTGTTCTCGATTTGTATTTATTCTGCGCGCTACTATTGTATTAATAAAATATTTTCCTTTGCTAAACTTCCTGAACTTGGTCAGGGAAAACGATACATTCGTCGGTTAGTGTGATGTGATCACCTGCAACGTGAGATTTCCATATTATATTTTTTTTCTCACATTCATTTACCGGAACGTCCTTATCTTCCAAATATAAGGCAAATATAGGAACAGCATTCATGACGACCGCAATATAAAAAAGTGCCAGCGAAAAATATTGGAGACGAAAAATTCAGGACTAGACATTACGCAATTACTCCAGCATCAAAAATTTGAACACTTGTAAGCTTGTCCAAACAATGTCACATGACAATTATAACCTCATAACTTCAGTTTCTCGCACATATCATAGACATCGAAATTGTTAAGACCTTTGCAATTACAATCTCCTAAATCATTTCAAAGAAATTAAAAGTAGTTTTAAGAAATTGCACTATATAAAATACTTTTTACAATAAAATCTGCCGTCGCAAACTGAACCTTTATATTTTATAAAGTCATTAGAGATCCGACCACAAATATGAAATGCATAGGTTGAAGCAAAATCAAACAAATAAAATAATTAATTTCTAATTTTTGTTTACTGATTTCAGCATTTTGAAAATTTGAATTTAAATTTATTCGTAGATTTAATACATGTATAAATTTTTATTATTAAATATAGTTAACGTTAATCTTTATCTCAATATAAAAATATCAAACAAATAGGCTGGTCCTATATTATTTAGGCTGAGATAGACTTTGCATTAACTCATTTTATTTTTTTTTTTGGTAGTTTTCTCTCTTTCTTTTGCAAAGTTCTTATATTATATATCACAATATTAATTTAATTAAGCTATTACTAAAGTTAAAAATCAGATTTAATTTTAAGTAAAATTAATATTATAAATATAATAATTATTTAATCAGTATATTATAACTATATCCATGAATATATATCTCCTCCCTTTTGTATCACATCGTATCAAAAATTAATTTATTATATTAAAAATAATTTTTTATTTATTATAAAATATTGTATGTAAATAATATATAAATATTTTTAATTTCAAATAAATAAATTAAATTAGTTTTATTTTACTGTATATTTTAAATAGTTAATAAATATATAGCAAAAATTTTAGATCAACTGAAAATTTATAATTTGTCTAAAACTTTAAAATTAATTTTGCATATAATTAGCAAATTAATTAACATATGTAATAATATAGTATATAAAATTTTAAATTAATTTTACATTTTATTAAACTATTTAATTTTAATATTTATATTATTTATTAATAATCTAAATATTTAAAATAATATATTAATATAATTTTATCTAAACAATTATAGTTTTATTAAAAAGTTTACAAAATAATAATATATATACAATTATTACTAAATATAATAAACCCTATGTTTATTAAAGTTTAGTTCAGTATAAGATGAGTTTATTATATAATACTCATTTTATTATCAAAAGTATAGTAAAAGACATTTTACTTCTAAGCATTTTAAATGCAATATAGTTTTATTCTATATGTTAATTGACAAATTAAATTTTTGAATATATATTATTAATTTTATATTATATAATATGTATTGAATGTTAAGTATATATTACATAAACATTTTATATTTATTAAATGGTTAACTAAAATTATATTTAATTAAACTTAATTTATTAATTAAAAATCAATAAAGTTAAAAAAATATATATTTTTCAATAAAATAAAAATATTATTTAAAAATATATTTTATAAAAGTAAAAAAAAATATATTTTTTAATATAAATTTTCTTTAATATATAAATTTCTATTTGCATCATTTGATAAAAATATCCTGATTTGCATTTTTTATGTAATTAATATAATATTTTAGATACTCTAACAGTTTCTATTATCTAGTATATTAAACTATTTAATATATAGAGTCTATTATTAATATTTATTATTATTATATTATATTAATAAAATTATTTTAAAATATAAATTATCTTTATTATTATAATTAATTCACTTATATTATTATATTTAATATTATATTATAAATTATATGATATTATATAATTTAAATTTTATATAATAATGTTATACTATTTAACTGTATAATTTATATTAAAACAATAAAAATTAATTTATTTTAAATTTATATAATTAATAACTTAATCTATTTATATAATTTTCTTTAAACCTTTAATTCTTCACTTATTTTATCAAATTTAAGCTCTTGTTCATATAAAAATTTCATAAAATTAATATATATAAATTTTTAGCTTCTATTAAATTAACTTTTTTAATATAAGTATAAATTTAATTTATTTATATTTTTCTTTTTTTTATTTATATTTAAAATTGTATTAATAATTTTGTTATCAATAAATTCACTTTTTAACATTTTATTCTAAATATATATATATATTCATACATATTAAAATCTTTTTCTAGAAGTTAAAAAAATAATATATCAAGCTCATCAAATTTTCTATTAAAACTAAAAAAAATAAATATATATTTAAAAATAATTATATATAATATTTATATAATATAATATTAATTATATTATATTTATCAAAAATTATTATATTATAATCTTAAAATTTATCAATGTTATTATTTAATAAAATAAATACCTGTTTATTCTAATAATTTAATTTTTGTGATAATACTATTAATTATATTTCAGTAGTATT